AAAATAAATCTTTCGTTTCTAAAAAAGTTATGCGATTTAACCCCTTCCTGTGCAACGACGAGTCTGACTCGTGATGAAGATTTTGGTCCAAACATGAATATCACGAACCAGACTCGCAAATAGAAATACAATTTTTAATAAAATTATAAATTTTTCTAAATATAATTTTGAAACTGTCATCTATTATAAAATATAATATATTTATAATATTTGTAAAAGGAAAAAGGATTACAGTTTACTTCCACAACAGCAATATCACGTAAAACTGACTATATCACACGTCTTTACATTTAGGCTAGTATTGGCCACTGTTTTCGGGCATCAGTCTAGACTGTTGACCGCGCATTGACGCCGACAGTTTGGACCCAGATTTGGTCGAGTTAACCAGTTAGCGAGTTAGTTATTGACGAGTATACTCGTCACGGAGAAGTGGCAGGATTTTATGTCACGACGAGTATACTCGTCATGCGTAAAAAATAGTGACCATTGGCTATTTAAATTGTAATTTTTGTGAAAAATAAAACATATTCTCGAATTTCAAGATGTTTAGAATATTTTGAGGCCAGGTCGGAATAAAACAAACAAATAAAAAATATGAATAATTTGAGATGAACTCACGCGTCCCCGTATACACCGGCTGAAACAGCTTATCAGTTCGCATAACGAATTTATTTACGCGCGATGATAACGTTTTTTAGATGTAGCGTAAAAGGGGCAAAAGCAAAAGTAAGAAAGCTGATTTACGATAGGGTTCCTTCATGGATGGTCCGCCATGGGACAAATGCGTGACGCTGACCAGGCACTGAGCCCATTGATGGCTGCTGGCCCGAAATTACCCAGCTATTTTTTGACGGTCACTAATATTCATAGATATCCATAAAAACTAACCAATAAGAGAACAGATGTTAACCAAACAAGTAAATATTAGTAATAATTAATATATCAAATTTAAGATAATGTAACAGTATGCGAGGTATGGAAATTAAATAATTCTACGTGTTAATTATGCAGTTTCTTACTCATTGCTAGAAAAATATCATCAGCCTAATAGCAAAAAATTTTCATTAACATTTATATTATTAGTTTATACTAATTAATAATTTGTAAAATACTTTACTTATTAAAGTACACCGCTATTTTACGCACAAGTGTACAAAGATCAAGACTATTGTACAGACAAATTCAAATATTTATAATTTTTCTCTTTTCAAAGTTTGCATTGGAGTTACTCTTTGAACGAATTAACGCACTTGAGAAGCGACCCGCAGTCGCCATTTAATCAGATTCTAAAGATTCATGTTAATTAATATATCAAATTTAAAATTACCCAACGAATATCGAAGTAAAATAATTCTACGTCCTAATTTGTGTACGATTATTTCATATTTATCGTTTTAAAAATATCGTCGACTTCATAGTAGGAATTACTATTTTATTAACACGTTAACCCTTTCTCTTCGACAGGTGACGCCGTGAAGTCTTTTCCGTAGAACGAAGCATCGTGCCAATGATGGAAACATTACGATCGTGGAGTTTTTAGCATTCGAGGCCAAGTCTTTTCAAGGGAAAAAGAAAAAGAGGAAAGACCGACCATCGCAATAGCGTTTGCAATTCTTTGCGAAGAGGGACAATAGCACTTGTCTTAATTTTTACTCAATTTTTATGGCCGGTGATTATAGTCACCGTCGTGTGTAGATAGCGTCGCGTAGTTCGTGGCTAGAACCACCCATCGTGTGTAGATGGCGTCGCGTAGTTCGTGGTTAGTGCCACCCGTCGTGTGTACATGGCGTCGCGTAGTTCGTAACTAAAATCAACCATCCTGTGTAGATGGCGTCG